GCCAAATCATACCTAATTAGCACCTCCACAGGTATGATCGACGTCAAAACAAATAAACGTCCGTGATTGGCACAGCTAGCGGCGAGGGCAGGCCAAGAGCTATTAGTCCAAATTACGAGATCACCTAACAGGTTTAGTAACGCTCGATTCCAGGACATGCTGTTCCCAAATCTCCAAATTACTGCCAGCGAGAGATATCGTGATGCGAGTACACGAATTGCATACAAGCCCCAAGGCGCCTTTCTATACCTCATTTCATAATTATAGATGCGCTCTGACACGTACAGAGCGGACGCATCTCAGAATCTTTCATAACAAAAAAATATCCGGGCTGGCACATTGAACCTCTTAGAACAGTGATATGGAACATACACCAAAGGTGAATACCGTTAACAGTAGAGCAATAGTCATGATTAAATACTTTTTGACGGAGTGGCAAAAAATCATGAGTGTGAGGCTTATTTGTTTGGTAACAGGGGCATACGCACCAGTGTTGATTCTGTCCGACATCGGAATGGAAACTGACCCCTTTTCATTGTTGGGCATCTTGACATATTTATATAATATATGTATATATATATATATATATATATATATATATGTATTATATATAGTAGATAGTCTCTCCGCCACAAAACAACCAGCCAAATCAATATGTATTTTTTTCTGAGATTACCATTGACTGTCACTCAGAACGTTGGGTATGGGCAATGTTTGCATCATGTGATATATTCCAAGGCTACATTCTGACCTTATCTTTCAGGTGATCCAACAGAAGAACCAGGACCATCCTTCATCATGTCCTGCATCCTGCAAAATACCATTTACAGGAAATGGAGAAGATTATGCCTGCTTCCCGCAGCTATCATACTGTGCATCCAGCATGTCCCATCCTGTCTGTATTTGACCTGACCTGGCTTGTGCATCATAATACAATCCGGAGACACAAACGTATCTTTTTTTAGTTCAAGGTGAATTAAAATGAGCTACACGTCTACAGAACATATCTTATAGATACACATACAAACACCTACTGATGCTGACCTATATCCAATGACAATAATGCGGCAAGCATCGACAGATCTCATCAGCATGGAATGAGCCTAGAAGCTGGAATCTAAATGGCTAATAGCATATTCAGCATCATTTAAATGCTCATATTACACGGCACGGTCACGGGGACACATAATCACACAAGGTAATGACTAGAGTGTCAGGTATTTGGAGCCAATGGCAACCAGTCCAAATGCAATTTAACTTCAGGTGCCACTCTTATTAGACGCGCTGGTCTAGTTCTAACGTGCCTAGATCACTTCATAACCCACTGGTCTCCAGCCACGCTCAAATCACAAGAATAAATATCAGAATTGTAACTCGAGCGCCAGATTAGCCCTCGATAGTTTCACCCTCGCCGGCAGCCGGATTTTTATTGCCGCCCTAGGGATGTTAATTGCCACCGAAGACGCGGCACCGGCTCACGCCTGTCTGTAAGAACGGATGGAGTTAAAAGATATATGGAATGATGCGTAGAGTTTTTTCATGTAGTCCAGAGAATTGTAGGCAAAATGATCGTGTTTTATATGCATATTTTACTTTCTCGTTACATCATGCATTTTTGCTGGTTTCCGGTGTCATTTTTTTCGTGCGAGCAACAAAGGTGCTCTTTGCGGTTTAGAAAAACGAGCTTAAGTCAACCTCATTTAGAAATACAAAAATATCACAATTATTAGCAACATTGCATAAATACCAGTCCAATGATTGTTGTCCTAACTTTGCAATCTAATTGGAGGATGTAAGCATTTTCTATCCGTCACTGTTGCGTTAAGTGCCACCAAAATGTTGACCCCAGGTTTTTGGGGCTATTTGACCTAAATGCGTAAACGAAAATAGTGATAAGGATCGTGTCATTGTTTCCTACAAGTCTTATAAAACTAAAGTGTTCCATGCGATTTCTGGGACGCCACATTCATGTACGTGGCAGGATGTCATAGGGACGTGAATTGAAGATGTCGGTTCTGTGGCAAAATTCTGATTTTGTGGTACTAGAGGCGAACTGGACAATCGCGCTGAACAGAGCAGAGTTATTCCTATTTGTGTGTAGTGATGGATTGGGAGGGGGGAGGGGGGGCTAAAGTGTCTGATGTATGCATGTGTGCGTTAAGTGAACAACCGCCAAAATATGTCCTATTTATGTTGCCTTTGACAAACTTTTCTAAGGCCTCGTATTGAGAAATGCACGTCATTTAGGTGGATAATTCACTTAAAGAACGCTTGCAGTCCGTTGGTACACCATCAGATCAGTCGCCCAGCCTCACAGACCATGGCCCACCATGCACAACTATGAATAATGATGGGATGAGTACTGAATGTAGATCAGTGCTGCGATGTGAACTCTGTGTATCGGTGCCATTTTTTTTAAACTGATCACGATCTAATAGGTGTGGTTTGTTGGCACCTTCAGTTGAGTCTCACATAGGGATGAAAAATAACAAGAAAACAGACGCGTCCAGATGCCAACAACCGGTCTTTTATGAATATTTCACATTTTTACCATGAGTGAGGTGGTGCTCCCGCCGCGGCCGGCGCTATTCGTGGATATTTTAAGGCAACGCATGCCGAGCAGGGGATCGGTGCTGGTGCTGGCAGACAGCCAGCAACAAAATGGAAAAATATGTTTTTCGCGGGATATGTGGATATAAAAACTTGAAAGACCGTCGAAATCTGGCACCAAAACGGGCATTAAAAAACCGGCAACTTTACTGTTGTCAGGATAGCACGCAAACAGAACATTTGTGACTTCCGTATTGTTCGATTTTTTTTAATTTATATATATTTGAACTATATTTGAACTTCTTGTAAAGATGCATATATTGTCATAATGGCATCCGTCCGTGCATATATATATATAATAATATATATAATATATATATATTTTGTATATATGTATTACATATATATATATGTATATGTATGTATATATATGTATATATATGTATATATATGTATATTATATATATATATATATTATATATATAATATTATATAATATATATATGTATATTTGATTGCATTTCATTAGACTAAATGGTCCTGAGGTTTCACCGAAGTGTGCGTTTGAAATATACCCCAGAGGTGGGGAACTCTTGGAATAACATTAAGGGAATAAAGTATATATATATATATATATATTATATATATATATATATATTATAAGCTGAGCTAGCTCTTACGACATTAAGCATATGTGCCTCGAATAGAAATGAAGCATTTTGATGTTAGCAGTGACAAAAGCACAATTGAACGCATGCTCATGTTATTTGTTTCTTACAGTTTTTTGGCACTAATAATGCTATACGTTTTAGCATGTGTACCTGCGATGAAAAAATAAACTTGGTGGGGTCATGCGTGCTTTTAGGGAAACCTTCCTTGCGGGAAAAGTGCGTGGTTTCAGGTTTGGATGCGGGGTGTGGGCGGTTTTTCCAAATCTTAGAAAGTACCAGCTCCTCAACAGACCATGTGATGCTCTGTTTCTCAAAGCCAAAGTGCACTTAGAACAGAGTCAATGTGCTCAACGGTGTAGAGATGCAATCCAAGGCATATGGTATATTTTGTTGAATTATCGTGATAATGGCCTAATGTTGTGTATCCTTTTCCTAAGTAGAGAGTTTCAAGCTGTCGTAGCATTTGTTACTCAAACAATTTAAAGAATTGGCGTAATGCAAACATAACAGGGCACTCACGTTGGAAAAGGCAAGGCAAATTAGAAGTAATACTTCCATATGGTGGGT